ATTTTCACCAACGCTTCAATCACTGGGGGAACAATCCATATTAACATGGAAAATAAGGAATAAATGTGTCTTGCCTTCATGTTCAACTGTCACCCGCCATTTCCACCATCGTTATGAGCTGTGACGTAAAGAAATCTCTGAACAGAAACAAAAACTTGTTTGATATCAATTGTTCTATTTTAGAATAATAAATGTTAAAATTATTTATCAAAAGTTTTTTAAATCTGTTTATTTCATAATTCCATTGCAGAACCGTTTTTTTCGGTATATTTTGTACACGTTTATTTGGGAGGAAATAGGAACAGCCAAACATTCCTAAGGTATTCTTGTACGCTTCGACCTATAAAAATACCGTATTTGTCCTATTAGAATCGAAATAATTCCTTCATCATGTTTTTAATAATCAACCATCCCTAACTTAATTCCAAAGATGATATATGACGGTAATTTTACACATCCACGCGAACAATTATTTTTTTGTGAAAGGTATCTTCCGATGACTTGTTGCATCACAATTTGAACTCGCAACTGTTGGAATCATTAATAATGTTAAATGATAATACTAATAATTAAAATAATTCGAAATTTTCTTTAATGTTGTTTTATTCTACACTAACAACATTTCTACATTAAAAAATAATTGTTCACCCTTATTTACATGAATTATCTGATTAATCGAATAAAACGGATAAGTTACATGTATACTACAATACATTAAAACAAATATTGATACATGCTATTTTAAATCTTTTGTTTAGGATGTATTCGTGATGTGACAGTCGAGTCTCATCATAGGATCTAATGAAAATCTTTAATTTGACAAGGTGAAGTGTTTGGAACTTTGCGATTTATATGACAAAAAAGAACCCAAACAGCCGATTAAGAGCGTTATCGACCTACTCATTGGTTCTAAATAACAAGCTATTACTAATCTTCTAACATGTATGTAATAGATACACTTATGAGGGCATTAGCCTGATTGGGTGAATCTAATTTACACCAAGATATTATTGTCAATGCAGAATGATAGTTTTCAATATTTCAGGAGGGGGTCTTTCAGCGATTTGACCATATATTATTAAAAGGCATGATAGAAGCAGGGTATCCAATGTCATTTGATGACATATTGGTGTAAATAGAAATACAACAGACTACGAAAATTTTTCACTGGACTATGCTAACAGTGACAAATGTCCCCCGGATAAACTGGATACCTTAATATCAGTCAGATAAGGCAAGCTTTGAACTTCTACTAGGTATCAATATGAATCGCTCTATTAAATTCCAACATGGTTTAATTAACCAAAATATGATAACTAGAAATAAACTCAAAAAATGAATATCAGTTTTACCGCAACATCACATCTTGAGCCTTCAAGTGTTATAAGAGAGGCGAAAGATACAAAAGGGATATTAAAACTTATAAGAAACTGACAGTACAGTACTTGCAACCTTAGGCGTTACTGTTTTAGCGATCAATCAGCGGTCATCGATCAGTTACCGATTAGTCAAGTTCGCGTCAAACTCACGTCACCAATCCGTTAGACTTATAGTAAAAGTAATTGACTGATCAGACGGATAGGACGGATAGGACCGATCGACCTATTTAACGGATTGAACTCTACTACGTCACATGATAAACTAATATAAATTACGGAATCTCAGAATAAAATGGCGACATATAGGAAACGTTCAAGTAGACTGATCAACATTTTTTTTAATCATTCAGCAAAGTTTAATGAATTTAAATGAAAAGAAAAATATAAATAAAAACTAAATTTTAATATTTTCATTAAAGAATGATCATTTTGGTTTTTATTAAGGTTATATATTTTCAAACTCGGAGAGTTCTAAAACGGTGTTTATATCGCGATTTTAATTTTATTAATTTCCGAATATACTCTGGAAAATAAAATGAAATGATCAGTTATTGAAAATTTTGGTGTACTATTTTCAATATTTTAAAGTTGTATCCTTATAATCTGAAAATTCTTTAAAACAATCTTATCTCAAATGAGGCCATTAAAATAACAAATTATAAATAAAATTGCTGCATTTTCTCTAAAGATAAGAAATATTGGTAATTTTAAACAATGCGAACAACATTTTAGTATGTTTTCTCGGATATTTTTTTTAATTTTATGAAAAACAACCAATCCGAAACTATAAAAGTACAAAAATCAAATGGCAGTCAATAATTGCCATTAAAATGAAGAAATGATTGCATTCTTGTTCAACAAAAACAAAAGTTTATGTATATTTATCCTTCAAATATTCACATTTTATACAAAATTAGTTATCAAAAGGCATTTATAGAGACTGATTGCAATTGACGTTGCATTATTTCAAATATGTGGAGAAATATATGCATTTTAGGCAACGCGTACAAAAATTAAGTATCTTTTCCCAAAAATTCAGCATATTTTATGAAAAAACAACCAATCCTGATGTACAAAAAGCACTGAAATTAAATGGCAGTTTAGAATTTGTATTAAAATAAAGCAATAACTGCATTCTTATTCCACATAAACATAAGTTTAAGTATTTTAATTCTGATTGTATCTAAAATCTAAAAAAGGACTTATCTTGAGGCCTTTAAAATAACTAACCACAAATTAAATAGCAACATTTTTTTATCAAAAGAAGAATAATTTAGGTAATTTTAAACAATACAAACAAAATGTAAGTACATTTTCTCTGATAATCTTTTATTTTATGACAAACAACCAATCATAAACTAAAAAAAGCAAAAAATCCAATGTCGGTCAATAATTTCCATTAAAATGAAGAAATGATTGAATTCTAGTTAAAAAAAAACAAAAGAATATTTATCCTTCATTTATTCACATTTAATACAAAATTACTTATCTAAAAGCATTTATAAGGACTGATTGCAATTGAAATTGCATTATTGCCAATATGAGAAGAAATATTTGCATTTAAAGCAACGCGAATACACATTTAGTATCCTTTCCCTAAAATTCAGCATATTTTATGAAAAACAATCAATCCTGAGGTACAAAAAGTACTGAAATCTTATAGCGGTTTATAATTTGTATTAAAATAAAGAAATAACTGCATTCTTATTCCACAAAAACAAAAGTTTATTTTTTTTTAATTCTGATTATATCTAAATTCTATCTTGAGGCCTTTAAGATAAATAATTACAAGTAAAGTTGCATTACTTTTTATCAAAAGAAGAAATAAAGGTAATTTAAAACAATAGTTAAAACAACACTTATAATCAACACAAACAAAGCTCTAAGCATCTTTACTGTTATGCTATTTTTACTTTTATCATTTAGCATGTCTAGTGACATGAAATTGCTAAATAGAGTATTTATTTTAAATGATAACATTTTATCGCTTATAAGTGGTACATAAACATTCTGAGTATATCATTATTCTGCACTTATGCAATTATTTAGCTCAAATTTAAATAAAAAGATATGAAGTAATACATATGATGCGTGAACAGTAATTTATATTTTTTTTTATTTGTTATTGCAACCAAATTTATTACAATTTAACGAGTAGAGGTGTCTTCGTAGAGGCCCGGGTTCATTGAATGTAAACACTGTGGAGTTCGGTTTACATAAGAATTTTAAATATATACGTATCCGTCCGATCCGTGCATAAAATTAATTTACTGATCGATAGCTGACCGTTGTCACGGTAACTCTCACATAGCTTATTTGACTTATCTGACGGATTCTATGGGTCACCGATCACCGATCACTCATAGATCAGTCAAACATCCGTCACCGATCATTCACCGATCAGTCAAGTTCACGTCAAACAGTAACGCCTAAGGTTGCAAGTACAGTGCCTAGCAACACGAAACTCGATCACAAAAGACAAACAGCAGTATACAAAACACAACATAGAAAACTAAAGACTGAGCTACAAGAAACACCAAAACCGTGGGTATTCTGAGGTGCTCCGGTTGGGTAAGAAGATCGTGCTCCACATATGGCACCCGTTGCACTGCACATGTAACTACAAATCCGTTGAACGACCATTAGATGTAAAATAGTAATGCAATCAAATCGCCATGTGGTCATTGTGATAGTTTTCTCTTGCAACATTGAGCTCAAAACAACGTTGATACATTCACCAATAACGCTGGGTAGGCATTAAATATATAGTTTCATTATAGAGTTGTGCCAAGCGATTATATCATACACGTGTGCATACTTGAGAGTGAAGTATATCTTGTGTAACTGTGTACATGTTTAAAAATAAGTAGGAATCAAGGGAATATTTCTATGAAAATAAAAGTACACTGAATAAAGATGTTTCTTTTTAAATTAAAACCACTTATTACGTTGGTTGCAATGAATTACCGTAGTTTCCCAGTGAAATGATAACCGATATCTTCACATGTTAAATAAACTCGATTATTTTACTCCTCTGACGTCATACAACAAAAGGTATTGTCAAGACGTCGGCGATGACGTCGCATCAAAACAAGCTGTGAATGTGTAGAAAATGATATAGTTCCCTACATTTTCTACTTTAATTCCATTAAAAATGTCAATATAATAAAAAGAATAACTAATCAAAGAATTCAAATATCAAAAAGTATTCAACTCGTGACCGTACAACTCTAATAATTACGTGCATTCGTGGTGTTCGGTCACTCGTTGAATATGTTTTTTATATTTGAATTCTTCGACTAGTTATTCTATAACTAAAATATCAACCACTTTATTACATGTAGCTATTCAATCAATCATCTGCAATTTTCTCTTTTCAAAGTTCATTCATTTATCATGTAAACATGGTATAGACGTTAACATTTTTTAACCCCTTATCATTCGGTTATCTCATATTAGCGTGTTTTGCTTTTGAGGGCTTGAGGTCGTTGATATTCAATATTTCAATATACAATATGCATGTGTTTAAAAACTGATGCTATCGTATTTCGATATACTCAATTTGTATTATTTATACAATTAATAGAATTGTTGCCGGATTCGTGTGAGATTCATGGAATATCGTGTAAATCGTGTTTATTTTTATGTTCAACTCTAAATTACGATACTTTAAATGATTCTCTCTTTTCTTCCAATATTTTTTTTTTGGAACAGTTTTATTTCTTTTTGTCAAAATATTGCACATGTTCTATTATCGCATTTCATTTTGTATGTTTCAAACTGTGTTTTGACTTTTGCTAACTCTGCCTCGAAAGTAAAACAAAGATCAACTTGATTTAACTCCCCATTAACAATGGCATCTGCCGTCTCATATAGTTCCTTTCTAATCAAACTGGTCCATAGAATCTTGTTCATGCCTTCTACTGATAACATCTCTTTTCCTGTGAGTCGCCCTTTTCCCAATATTTGGCTTAAATGTATGAGAAATTCCCCAAAAGCTTTATAATCTTTACTTTGTAAGAACCTTCCAAATTCTAAGTCTGGATCATTATAATGTGGAATTTTTCCTTTTCTAATATAGTAACCAAATTTGGTCAGTACCTCGCAAACACACGGTAGCGCATTATCTTCCTCGTTTTTGCATTCCTTTATGTGACGAAATAATACATTTTTTAGTTCATACGATGGTATTTCATTCCAATCAAGCATTTGAATCAAGGCTTTCACAAATTTGTAAGCATCCCTATGGAATTGTGATGTGTTTTTAAATTCCTGTATTTCCTCAATACAGAAGGACATTCTCCAACAATATTCATGTTGATGGCGACATACTTTTGGCACAAGAAAGTATGGGCGAGTAGAACTCATTTTGGTGTTTTCACCTATTTTGAAAGCTGGCAAAAAATCTAATTTCACAAGAACTGTAGAGCTACTAGAGTGTTGGATCTTTCCGCTCTCTTGGTTGTAGCAATATGCATCTATTTTATTTTCTGCGTCTTCAATTGTCCATTTAAATGTGAGTTCTTTCATTGTAATTTGTTGTAAAGACATTTGTACAACTTTGCACAAAGAACAATCGCAATTATGTTTCCGTCGGAGAAAATTATATGCATTCAGTTCAAAGTTTTCGGTAGATGCAGGACACGTTTTCATGATGTCCACGAGTCTTTTTAAAAATGCCGTATTTACTGTTTTGGGTGACAAAATAGTTTGTGATTCAGTCAACCAACAATCGTCACTTTCCAGATACAAATTCATGTAACCGACGTGAGAACTTTTTGTAACTTCTGTTCCCTTTTTCGGGCCAATAACTGCCAAATAATCAAATTCCAAAATAGGTTCGTAAGAACTTTTTTTGTCTTTGATCCAGATTTCCCAAATTCTTGTCTTTTCTTTCATGCTACCACACATTTTGGTACATTTAATTTTATAGTCATTAGTCGTCTGATTAAAGCGGTCTTGGAAAGTAGCCAAATATGTGTTCATGTAGCGCATTATCTTTTTAACTTCTTCATTTTCATAATTGACGAAAACCCTTTCTTTGATATGTTTTACGAACTTTTCCATCTCAATAAATTATTTTCTTGACATGCAGGAACACTGAAACGATATAACAGCATTTATGTCATTAAAAGTTTTTATTTTATATTGAATACACAATACATAGACAATATCCATAATTAATTACATTGATGTAAATGGTCTCGGAATAGTTAAATTGATTTGAATAAAATTAAGGAATCATAAAAGGTAAAAATGTCTTTTTGAACTCTTTTTTCAATGCTTCATTAGGTTCCCCATTTCATAAAATATTGATGAAAAAAATAGACTTTTTATTTCCATTCCTTGATGGTTTCAGCTGAATATATGAAGGACGTCTTTGTCATAATTTATAAAGCTAAAATATATACAATAAAAAAGAATGAACAAAACCGTTTTTTTTTTGGTTTGAAATAATGTCGGTTCTTTCCTCATTTTCCTGTATCAATAATTTCTGTTATACCCTTATTATGTCTTATAATAACTGTTCAGTTATTTATCTAATTTAAAACATCCAGACATTTAATATATATATGATCATTAAAAAAGCATACTTTGAGTGTACATATCCAAAACTACATGTTTCCAGATGAAAATAAAGAACTTGGTAATATGTATAATAACCAAAAGTACCGCAAACAATGATGAAAGTTTATTATTTCATTATTTCAATATTTTGATATTTCTGTCCTTTCAAGACCGGTAAAACATTTGGAGATTTAATAAAAACGAAAATTAAGCGAGTTTCTACACGCTAAAATGATATTTAAAAAAAAACAGTAGAAATCTTCAAATACTGATGGGTTATTATCTCCGTAAAATAAATATTGACCATTGCATTCTAGAAGTCGCATTAGAGATTCAAATTAAGATATAAATTAAATAATAATAAAAAAGAAGAAAACAAACAAAAATTAAAAACCAATTATTCAGAGAACAATTGAAGGTCTTTCCACAAAAAAACAAGAATTTTGATATGAAAATAGTAAAAATTCGGTTTAAAATGTCATTTCCAGCGTCAAATGATAGCTAATAATACGCTGATTCGAAAAATATATGGTTTCTATACAATATTTTTTGAATAAGGGAAATAATTTGTTACTTCCGGTTTGAAAAATGTTACTTCCGGTATTGTTTCACTGTTTAATTGACACTGATTCCAAAAATATATGGTTCTATATACTTTTACATACAAAAAGTACAAAAAAATAGCTACTTCCGGTTTACACAGGTTCACTTCCGGTTCGTTTTTGAAGGTCATATGGCTTGCAACTAAATGCAAAAAGTCCAATGGCTTTATCATGTATACAAATGAGGTAAAAGCAAAGGTCAAAATCTAGAACGTCAATTTAATCTATGACCTTGGGCTCAATTTCAAGGTTATCAACCAGGGACCTCAAATCAAAAGACCCCAGATCTTAATTATATTTGGTTCATGAGTTATATCACCATATGCATATTTTTAAATAAAGAGGGGAGAAAACTCTAATTTGATGTAAGCGCACCCTTTAAACCAATATGTATGTGTTACGACCTTGACCCTATTTTCGTTTTTTTGGACCAAGGATCTCAAATCAAATGACGCTAGGTCTTTATCACTTATGGTTTACAAGCTACAACTACATTTTTGTTATTAAAAATGCAAAAGGGGAAATAACTCCCATATGTAGTCTCCGGACCGCTTCGGTCAAAATTATTTTTGAGATCCTGAAGATATAACAAGCAAATTGGTGAAATAATTTTGTCGTAATCTTTAACGGTTGCAAAGGAGATTTGTACACAAGAAAAACAGTGTTTGGGGGAGATAACTCTTACAATAAAAAGTGTTCGGCTCAACAGGGTCAGTTTCAAAATCGTAATAACTGTTCGATATCATATGCAAAAAATCTAAGCGTCATCTTGCGAAACAAAAAAGCACCGTCAGAAAAAAGTGGCAGAAGAAGAAAAAAAAAATTATTAAAAACCAATTGTTTAGAGAACAATTGAAGGTCTTTCCACAAAAAAACAGGTATTTTAATATAAAAAAATAGTGAAATTTGTTTTAAAATGTAATTTCCAGCTTCAAATGATAGCTTATTGTACGCTGATTCCAAAAATATATGGTTTCTATACAACATTTTTTAAATAAGGGAGATAATTTGTTACTTCGGATTTGAAAAATGTTACTTCCGGTATTATTCAAACGTTTAATTGACACTGATACCAAAAATATATGGTTCTATGAAATTTTACATTAATTAAGTACAAAAAAAAGCTACTTCCGGTTTACACAAGGTCATTTCCGGTTGGCTTTTCTAAGGTTAAATGGCTTGAAACCTAATGCAAAAAGTCCCATGGATTTATCATGTGTACATATGAGGTAAAAGCAAAGGTCAAAATCTAGAATGTCAATTTAACCTATGACCTTGAGCTCAATTTCAAGGTCATCAACCAAGGACCTAAAGTCAAAAGACCCTAGGACTTAATTATATTTGGTTCATGAGTTATATCACCATATGCATATTTTTAAATAAAAGAGGGGAGAAAACTCTAATTTGATGTAAGCGTACCCTTTATACCGATATGCATGTGTTAAGACATGTCGCAACTAACAATTAAGTAAAAATATGTTGTCGATATCTTATATCGTGTTTGAAAAGGGGTGAAAATAAGCCAAAATTTAAATTTAAAATGACCTTGACCTTTGACCTTGACCTTTGACCTTGACCCTATTTTTTTCTTTTTTTTTGGACCAAGGACCTCAAATCAAAAGACCCTAGGTCCCTATCACTTATGGTTTATCAATTACAATTACATTTTACTGATTTTAAGTACAGAAGGGGAAATAACTCTCATATGGAGTTTCTGGACCGCTTCGGTCAAAATTATTCTTAAGATCCTGAGGATGTAACGAACAAATTGGAGACATAAATTTGTCATAATCCTTTACGGTTGCGAAGAAGATGTGTACACAAGAAAAACAGTGTTTGGGGAGATAACTCTTACAATAAAAAGTATTAGGCTAAACAGGGTCAGTTTCAAAATCGCAATAACTGTTCGATATCATACACAAAAAATCTAAGCTAAATCTTGCGAAACAAAAAAGCACCGTCAGAAAAAAGTGGCGGAAGAAGAAATAAATAATAATCAGAAGAAAACCAATAGGTCTTTCCACAGAAAAGTGGAAAGACCTAATAATAATAATAATAATCAGAAGAAGAAAACCAATAGGTCTTTCCACAGAAAAGTGGAAAGACCTAATAAGATTAATTAAAAACCAATTGTTCAGAGAACAATTGAAGGTCTTTCTACTCAAATTAACTTAAGACCGCTCCGGTCAAAATTATTCTTAAGATCCTGAGGATATGAGAAGCAAATTGGTGAATTAAATTTGTCGTAATCCTTTACGGTTGCGAAGGAGATGCGCACACAAGAAAACTAGTGTTAGGGGAGATAAATCTTACAATAAAAAGTGCTCGGTTAAACAGGGTCAGTTTCAAAGTCGCAATAATTGTTCGATATCATATGCAAAAAAATCTAAGCGACATCTTGCAAAACAAAAGAGCACCGTCAGAAAAAAAGTGGCGGAAGAAGAAAAAAATAATAATAATTAAAAACCAATTGTTCACAGAACAATTGCAGGTCTTTCCACCAAAAAACAAGTATTTTGATATGAAAATAGTAAAATACAGTTTAAGATCTCATTATCAGCGTCAAATGATAGCTTAAAGTACTCTGATTCCAAAAATATATGGTTTCTACACAATATGTTTTGAATAAGGAAGATAATTTGTTACTTCCGGTTTGAAAAAGGTTACTTCCGGTATTATTTAACTGTTTAATTGACACTTATTCCAAAAATGTATGGTTCTACATTTAAAAAGTACAAAAAAATAGTTTCTTCGGGTTTACACAGGTTCACTTCCGGTTCCCTTTTTAAGGTCATATGGCTTGCAAATAAATGCAAAAAGTCCCATGGTTTTATCATGTATACATATGAGGTAAAAGCAAGGGTTAAAATCTAGAACGTCAATTTAACCTATGACTTTGAGCTCAATTTCAAGGTCATCAACCAAGGACCTCAAATCAAAAAACCCAAGATCTTAATCATATTTGGTTCATGAGTTATATCACCATATGCATATTTTTAAATAAAGAGGGGAGAAAACTCTAATTTGATGTAAGCACACCCTTTAAACCAATATGTAAGTGTTACGACATGTCGCAACTAACAATTAAGTAAAAATATGTTGTCGATATTTTATATCGTGTTTGAAAAGTGGTAAAAATTAGCCAAAATCTAAATTTAAAAATGACCTTGACCTTTGACCTTGACTCTATTTTCTCTTTTTTTGGACCAAGGATCTCAAATCAAAAGACCCTGGTCTTTATCACTTATGGTTAACAAGTTACAACTACATTTTTCTTATTAAAAATACAAAAGGGGAAATAACTCCCATATGCAGCCTCCGGACCACTTCGGTCAAATTATTTTTAAGATCCTGAAGATATAACGAGCAAATTGGTGAAATAATTTTGTTGTAATCTTTAACGGTTGCAAAGGAGATTTGTACACAAGAAAAACCGTGTTTGGGGAGATAACTTTTACAATAAAAAGTGTTCGGCTTAACAGGGTCAGTTTCAAAATCGTAATAACTGTTCAATATCATACACATAAAATCTAAGCGAAAAGAGGTGAAAATTAGCCAAAATCCAAATTAAAAAATGACTTTGACCTTTGACCTTGACCCTATTTTTTTTTTTTTGCATTAAGGACCTCAAACCAAAAGACCCTAGGTCCCTATCACTTATGGTTTACCAATTACAATTACATTTTACTTAATTTAAATACAGAAGGGGAAATAACTCTGATATGGAGTTTCTGGACCGCTTCGGTCAAAATTATTCTTAAGATCCTGAGGATATAACGAGCAAATTGGTGACATAAATTTGTCATAATCTTTTACGATTGCGAAGGAGATGCGCACACAACAAAAATAGTGTTTGGGGAGATAACTCTTACAATAAAAAGTTTTCGGTTAAACAGAGTCAGTTTCAAAGTCGCAATAACTGTTCGATATCATATGCAAAAAATCTAAGCGACATCTTGCGAAACAAAAAAGCATCGTCAGAAAAAAAGTGGCGGAAGAAGAAAAAAAAAATATAATAATAATAATCAGAAGAAAACCAATAGGTCTTTCCACAGAAAAGTTGAAAGACCTAATAATCAGAAGAAGAAAACCAATAGGTCTTTCCACAGAAAAGTGGAAAGACCTAAATAATGTGTTTATTGCAATTATCTTACCTTTACAAATTTTTATATATATATATATATATGAATATCATATATCGACTCTATTTCCATTTTTAAAGAAAATTTAAAATGATTATCACTTTCAAATATATTTTCTGAGACCCCAGCTTCCTAAACCAATCAAAAATCTGGCCTCCAAGCTAAAGTGCTGAAAGTGGCGTTAAACATACAAAATCTATCAATAAATCAGCAATTTACTAATTTACTAAATGAAATAGATACACATATCACTCTAATGCATTTATAACAATCACCGTCGTATCTGTAAAAAAATCAAAATTGAAAAAAAAATACTCGTTCTGATTTTTTTTAATCATCCGAATAACTAAAATGTTAATTGACGCTATCTTAGGTCAAAGTTTAAGGAATTATCTATTTTGCCTATAACAATATATGTTTTTATATGTCTGAAAAGACCGAATTATAATAAAATGTTGACTGTTGTATCCCTATTTTTGACATTTTTACCTATTATGTCTGTTTCTTTTATTCACACATTGTTGTCAATTTAATGGAATTTTATGCGACTGTCATACAATTGAGAGATTTAGCTACCTATAAAACCAGGTTAATCCACCATTTTCTACATAAGAACATGTCAGTACCAAGTCAGGAATATTACAGATGATTTCCGTTCCTTTGATGTGTTTGAGCTTTTGATTTTTTCATTTGATAAGGGACTTTCCGTTGTGAATATTCCTTGGAGCTCGGTATTTTTGTTATTTTTTTTTTCTAAAATGTTTACTTATTGAATTTTATTGTAACTGACAATAAAGTATGTAGTGAAAGAAAGGTTTGTAAATTCGGTAATTCTGAGAAAACAAGTCAAAAGAACGCATTTGTTGTTATAAAATTTTTGTTTTCAATTTGTTGCTCAAAAAGGTTTTGTCAAGTTTTAAAACAAAAAAGTTGAATTTAAGACTGGAATTGTCAAAAATATGATATGAAAAGATAAATACCAGAAATACATATTATTATAAATGCTACTTTAAATATTTTGAAGTTTTTTTGTTTGTTTTACTCATGCAGAAAATGACTTTTCTTGTTCCTTGTGTTGTTTGAATGCTGTCTTATCGACTGATTGACGTATAAACCAAATCTCGTATTATTAATATACAATAAATACCCTTTAGTTTATGAAACATTTAATTTATCATAAGTTGTTTATTTGAATTGAAATAAAAACAATTTTTAACATGTAAACTATACAAAGATTTCAAGGTCAATGAACAATGAGATATCTAATATCCACGACAATGAGATGTGCAAATGCTAATACAACTGCACACCAGATATCATTGACTTACCATTAGTTGTTCATCTCGAATTGATTTAACCACAAATCATAACACGTAAATTATGCTATCTGTACAAGCTAACAGATCATGACTGATAGGACTGGAACAAAAAATATGTATGGATATTCTATCAACTGTTTACCAAATATCATTGACTAAATTCTAGTGGTTGTCCTTAACTGACCTCATTACAAGACAAACATTGTTGACGCTGTTTTTACCTTGAACAGCACTCCCAATTCTAACCCCCACGACGACGTCGAGGCGAGACCAATTTCTATATATCTAGAATTGAAACAACAAAGCGAATATAATCATTACATTCTAAATATGTAAACTGATTGTACATATACTGTATATCGGAATTGAAACTACAATTAAGAACAAAAGATAAATAATTAAATTTGAATGCAATTAATTGATATGATAAACTGATAAATATTGAAACATCTGATTAAGTAAATATATACCTCATCAATTTGTGAACCTACATATTTCTTAACACGGAAGTTCGCAGTATGATCGCATGATTAGTTACCAACAACAACAATAACAACTATTACCTGTCTTTGCCAGTTATATTTATCCATTTAATACCTCCTTACATAGCTAAATTTTGAAAGTTCAAGGTATATGATATGACAGCTTACGAAAGGATAATGACTTTATAAACAATTAACGAAAAATATTTTAGATTTATAATTCAAATTCACGTAATTACAGCGGTGGTAATATTAATTCCAACCAAAACATCATAAAACCAATCACTAAAACTTTTCAAATTATTTATTTTTAAAATTACCGTGTATACAGACATCATAAGCAGTCCAGGGCAGCTGACAGAGGAGTTCTTGCTATTTTTACTTTCCCATTAGACACGGAAGTTATAAAGGATGAAAACATACTCTCTGCATAATCTATTTCACATAAAAAAAAAAAAAAAAAAAAAAAAAAAAAAAAAAAAAAAAAAACACCCAGCATTTAAATCCATAAATTCTACACACCTTGGAAAATGTATTTTCTTTTAATTTCATCTGTGACTATTTTCATTCTTGTTGATATAAGCCAGGTCTTATGGACCGTTATGGAACATCTTTTTCACAGATGACGACAGACACGTTCCAATTGTCGTAATTAAAATCCCCGAATATTGACCCCTATCGATATAGAATTATCACCGGGTTTGTATTTACACCAGAAATGGCGATTTAAAAAATAAAATCTGTTTTGCCATTATTCCTGTTGTCCGGTTTTCAATATGTCTTTTGCTTTCAGCTTCTTGTGGATACCAAATAGAGGATTCCTTGCTAAAAAAACTAGTTTTAACTACTTGTAAGTTGGTGTGCTGTCCGATGATCTTTCCAATTATGTCTTTAATACTATCTAAAGAATTTGTCTTTTATAGAATTATTGTAGGAAGATCTTTGATGATATCAGTTCAATTTATTCAACATTTTCTAAACTCGTAGACTTTTTCTAGACGTACACCTCACGTCTTAGTTATCGTATAAGTCCATGAACAATAGCGCACCAGGATCTGTCTAACCTTCCGAAGCACTTGTAAAAACCACCATTTTTGTGGGTTTTTGATTCTTAATTTATTGTTTTGTCTATAGAGTTTTGTAGACTTTATTTTCTTCGTTTCTCTTGTTTGACTAAGGCAGTGGTTGTTTTTCTTTCACATATAAATTTAATTGTCCCCTTGGTATTTAAAAAAAAGTCCTGGTACCAATCTCATCTTCTATAAAGGTATATACACTCTGAAAAATGGCAAAATTCAAACAAAATGTGAGCGAACAAACACAAAAGCTTATCTTCAAAATTGTATAAAAATTAAATTCAACTATCTGTTTTTTTTTAAAGTTTCTAAAATATACAAGGCATAACAATATGCACATTTTAAGAATGCATAAATAATTTGTACAAGATACCATTGTTCTATCTAAGAAAATAATTCGAGATGACAAAGCTACACTCATTTGAAAAAAGGAATTGAAGTGGACATGAGTAAACCACTCACCATAAATTAACCCCAACCGACTGTTCGGATAAGGAGAACAAACGATTACAATAAAATAAGGATACCTAGATTAATTTTTAAAATAAACTGTTGCTCGAAATATTATTAGTTAAATGTAAGTTTGGTATTACAAATTAAAATTTGGATATATCTAATTCAATGTGAAAAATTAAAATTGACTCGATCTTGATTAAAACCCAAATATAATGACAATACAATTACAATTAACAAAAAACAGAAGACGAATTATAAATTAATGTCATGGTGTAGAACAACAGAAGAAGATAACACAGTGAATGTCGATAAGTTGCAATAATCCTCGGTTTAGATCGAACAGCACCAATACTTTTCTTCAGAAGTTTCAGAACAGCGCTAGTACATTTCCATTTGTTACACCCGTTTGCTTTTAAATGATGCAACCAAAGAACAGGTTTTTCTGTCGGTTGTTTTTTTATTCACTTACACATAAGTATGATACCCAAAAGCGCAGCCTTGTATATTTTGTCTAGTTGGTGAACTAACTCCTTTTATGTATGCAGTGAATCTAAAAGAACAAATTAAAGCTTAACATTTTATGACATGAAATTTAATTTTATTTATTGTTTTCATAAATACGGCTTTTTCCGTTGACGTTTACAACTTAACATAAAGTAATTTGACAGGATAACAAAGTCAAGTAGTCACTTAACTTAAGACAGATAATAAGAAATCCGAAATTTTCATCTTACATTTACTACATCTTTCAGGTACGGTCGAAGTAACTGAGGATGTCTTGCAAATTTGTTTTTTTGGATTTCGGCTGTTCAAAAAAGATTAAAACACAACATGCTTTAATTCAAACCCTCGCCTTAAAATGGACACTTAATAGCATAATGAAAAAAAAAAAAAAAACGTTTCGACTCAGAGACTGTTAAATATTTGTCAAAAGAAAAAGTATAAAATAAAAAATTAAAGACATATGCGTCTACTTGCGACCAAACATGAGTGATTGGGCGATGCTTATGTAGTTTCTGACGAAGACAAACAAAATCAATTAGATTCGAATAACTAATATGGTTTGAAAAAGGCATTAATAAACATACGATTGGCTAACCAAACAAATCCAGCACATGGTCATTTACTGAACTTCAAACCGTATAAGATAACATCCGAAACTTTAATGAATTTATTAAATCTCATATCTAAAGAATCAGGAAAAATGACATTTCCCGAGGACAGAATAGTTTCATTGTCTTAAGTATATGTTTAAACGGAACGAGTGTAGAGTCTAAGACTATCGAAGACCACACAAGTCGATTTTGCAGTATAGTTATCAACATTTTTAATGACACGGTAGATGACATAACATAATCGTAACTTATCCAAGATAAATTATAAAAAAAGGTAGAAATATGGGTATAAAGCTATTTTTTGTGTTATTTTTAAAATTCTTGCTTAAGTTCAAAATTGACATTGAATATTAGTTTTATTAATTTTACAACGCATTTTGTTATATTCTTTTGAATTCTGTTGAATGAAAATATTTTCAATTATGCCGCTGTATTGCAACGTGAAATCATAAAATACTTGTTTTTTTTTAAATATAAAACTGCATGAAAAACCAAACAGTTTACATTATCTTTTTTTGCACAACTAAAAGGAAAGAACTTCACTTTCGGTTGAAATGTATTTTCAGCTTCCATATAGTTTATATTGACATAAGCATTTTCGTAACGAGTTTCCAGTTGTTGGTATACGGATTACAATCATTGTATTCCATGAGCTATTTTTTTTTCTTCAAATATGGAAATAGAAGCAAACAGTGAGCTTAAGTCCTTTCCAAACACAAGGAAACTACTTCAATTTAGCTGAAAAGTAGGTTGCACTTCCGTATAGATTTTCTGATATTGACATCAAAGCTGTTATGTATGACAAAATGCAGTTTTTTTTTACGTGGGTTTATGAATATCATCGTTCGACTGGTAAATGAATCTGACAATGCAGTTGATTTAGGAAACAAATATTTTTAGGAAAATCTATTTAAAGAGATATTTTGTTTTGGAAATCTTATTTCAAAGTCTATAATAGTCTGTGGAACTTCATTTTAGCAATACTGAAACATATACTTAAATTGATATGAAAATTTGCTGTTTTCCTTATTGTGCAGTTTTGTATTTTATTACAACACGTATGTTCAACGTAGTAAACGCAAATGATGAAGATGTAATATCGGAAACGTTTAAAACAAAGGGTAGCACTAGTATTCTTCAGACCGAAAATACCACCGATGTGTACTCTAAGACCATGATTTCATGTGCATATATCTGCCTATCAGATCCACAATGCTGTTTGGCGAGCTATTCCACGGGAACATCAACATGTCGTATTGATACTTCTGAGCGATGTTGCGTTAAAACCGAAACCCTACACGGATGGATATATATTCAACGAAACTGCTATCGTAAGTTAAAATGTTTACTGGGTAATATTGCTGTTGTCTTCTGGTAGCGATATCCTTTTTTCTACGTTAGCCTATGATAATATTTTATCACTAACCGTTTTTCCACTATGAAATCTGAGCCGGGTCGAGTCTAGAATAATTATCTTGAATTGATTATCCTGGTTTACTCTTAAGAATGAACTCCTCTTTGAGTTTTCTCATAACAAAAATGATTAAGAATTCGCCAAAACTGTTACAACACATTTTCTTAATCAGAACAATATTAATGTATTGCCGGTGCCGTCAAAGTCGCTGAATTTGAAACCAAAAAAATATATTTGGAACAAAGTTAATCAACGAGTCCGCCATCAGAAGCCGTCACCTTAATCATTGGAATAAATACGCCAAGCGTTGTAACAAGAATTGCAAAGAATAACACAATTTCGAAAGAACGTTTCAATCGATTTATACAAAAGAGATGGTAGCTGCACATGCTGGTCACAACATACAATGACTTTTGTTTATCGTATGTGATTTTTTTAAAATCTTTGTTAACTTTTATGTATGATATGTGTGTGTAAAGTATTAGCATTGCCATTCAGGGGGTGGGGTGGGGTTATCAACGTTCAACCGAAACCAGCAAAACAATGTTTTAAAAATAAAATTACATATCATTTTACGATCCATTTTAAACATGTATATAATGTATTTTTTTAGTTCCAATGTCATGTACAGGATGCATTTGCTTTGAAAATTCCTGGTATTCTATTTCCGAGGTCCACTTAGAATGGACGACAGCGAAGGTAAATTCAAAATTTTCTTAGCTGAAATATGGACTTGTTATTGACAATACATTATTGACTGAATATATTTTAGACATAAAAATGAATAATCATTTTTGAACATCTCTGCAATGTTGTAACTTCAACTTATCATTCAGCACAAATATGCGTTAAAACACACTATTAGTATGATAGTGTTATTATGTCACTTTCCAAAAATCCAAGGCAAACATTTTGCCGCCTGAAGGTTCTGTTTAATTCGTAAATTTTCCTCCAAAATTAACATTTTTTAACGCATTTGTTTAACTGTTTGAAAATTCAAGTAACATGGTGAATAACACAATTATCTACTCGTATGCAAAAAACAACACGTAAAATTATTATGCAAAATATATTTTATTTATTTCTAAACTCCTTAAGCTTACTATTAAATATAAAGGCATGCCAGTTAAAGTGTTCCCATCTGTGATAATAAATAAGTACATATTATACTTTGCTTCATGTTGTAAATTACTTGAAAGATCTGTCTCCTAGCCAAAGGTATAAGTGTTTTATATGACACAGAAGGGCAAACTAGAATTTATGACAAACGTGAAGATTTCAACTTTAAATTTCTTAACTTTTAATAATTTCTTAGCAGTAACATAACCCGTGGTGTATCCTATGGCGTTATCATATCTCAATTAAAAAGTTACTCCCTGACATGTTCAAATTGTACACACTTCATTTACATGGGTATACTCCTGGCATAAAAGCAGCTTCAATATTTATGAGGAAGAACAACTGAAATCGACACAAATTGATTTATACGGTCACTATCACTAATATACTTAGTTGTCCGATACGATGCGTACATGTATCAACTCTATAGCGAGATTTTTTTTTGCTGTACTAGATGAGGGGCCTGATGGGTTATTTTCGTTCTTCGTGATCGGCGCATTTTCGCTATCGTGATCCGTTTTTCTACATATTTATTTTTTTTTATATTTTCGTGATCCGTGATGAGACCCCCCCCCCCCCCCCCCCCCCCATCAGGCCCCTCCTAGACACCAGAATAGTCGTTATATTTCTACATTTACTCATTGTGTCCTACATGTATTTTCGAATGTGACATTTAAAAAATGGTGTCGGATGGCGGGTTATGCGTGCATAGCAAGAGCCGATTACCCTTACGACACAACCTGAATCGATCTTCTTGGTGTTACGCGATTTCCTCAATTTTTGTTTCTAACGTGATTCGTTTCTTCCTAATGGAATTTTAAGCCTTTAACATCTTGATAATACTATTGCCTCCTTCTAATCCATACAGAGTTAAATATACTTCGTTTAAGAATTTAATAGGTTTTATTAAATATTTGTCTATTACTTTGAGATAAGCATACTCCAAAACTGAATATTCAATATATAAGTTTCATGTTTCTGTTCAAAGTAAACTTATATACTGTATTTCTCACGACTCCAACATCAAAGCGCCCTTTTTTCAACATATATATTCAAGTTGTCTGGTGAATGCTAGAAATATCTGTAGCATACTTCAGGATGTCACCCACTTTGTACAGAAATTGACATTTACATGTAACGTGCAGATACAGCAACATCTTAATTTGTTTATGTATGCAGGAAGACCTGAGGCATCAATTACGTGAGTTCGAGGAGCCTTTGTGGATATGCCGTCAGTCTATTTCTAAGTCAAGTTCATAACATATCATTTGTCTCCTTGCAGTGAAATGCAATTTATTAAAGCTTTGTTCTTAAATGCTTTTAGGAAAATTGTGAAGTCTTGGGAGGTAATCTGGCGAAACTGGAAACATCAGAGGAGAATGAGTTCATTAAAAATGAAGTGAGAACCAGAAATACCGGAGGTGAATTCCTGTCATATGAATATAGGGTCTTCAATGCTTTTTAATTTTGTACTGTATTTGGCCTTTAATTTTTGTAGACAAAACGCGCGTCTGGCGTATAAAATAATAAGACTGGTATTTTTTAGGAGTTTTACCAAAAACATGAGTAAAACAAGGTATATGCAGTTTATGTCAATGAGACACCAGCACTAAATTAATTAAAAAAATGTTAGAGGTCAACATAGTTAGGATATCGATCCATAAGCAAATTGTTTTTACCGTATGTCAAATTATCAGGAGTTCAAAGGCTAAAATGTTAACGATCAAAAAGCATCAACATATAATAATGCTTACCACTGACCTTTTTGTAGTATACAAAAAGGAGATGTGGTTAGATTGCCAATCATACAACTATCGACTAGGGACGAAATGACGAGACAGTTGATAATAATAAGTCCATGCACAACTTTCAGCAATGATCGAATCAATGCAGTATAGCAAGCTATAAATAACGTGGCATGCCAAATGTTAAACATTAAAAAAAACAGGTTTATCTATGCTTCAAAAAATGAACAATAAATAGATATGACAAACAGCAATTGTAATTCAGGCTCTTGACTTTGGACACCCACACAAAGTATATGACGGTTTTGAAAATGTGTGTGGACGCCACACATTCCCATAACCTTTGATAGTGGTGTAACAGCACACTTTAAGAAAAGACATCAAAGAGCAGTTTGAAATGATTTGACTCATCAGATTAGCACGAATTCCCCTCCCTCGGATATAAACAGCAACAACCCGGCCCCTTAAAAACATTGTACCGATATACGAGTACTCGCAGTTGCTGAAAGCTTGTTCAGAGCCAACTATTACTAATATATAAACTATGATTTACAAGACTAGAATATTAATCAGTACACATCCAATAAACAATTATAAAGACGTTATAAACAGTTTGATATACGCATATCTAATTATGAAATACCAAACTATAAGTATCAAAAAGGTGTAGGATCATACATCTTTAATATGTTCATAGATATAAGAAGGGGTGGTATGAGTGCCAATGAGACAACTCTCCATCCAAGTCAAAATTTATAAAAGTAAACCATTATAGGTCAAAGTACGGTCTTCAACACGGAGCCTTGGCTCACACCGAACAGCAAGCTATAAAGGGCCCCAAAAATTACTAGTGTAAAACCATTCAAACGGGAAAACAATAGAATAAAATAAAATAGCAATAAAAATAAAAACAAAATCAACGGTTGGTTAGACCGCCACTGAGTCTTATGTAGACGAAACGCGCGTCTGGTGTTACAAAATACTAGCCTGAGTATTTTTGATGAGTGTTTTGTACAAGTATTCATGATACAAACACTATTTAAAGATCTTAGTAAGGTGTGGAATTGATAACCTTTTGGAAAAAAATCAAAATTTCTAGCTACAGTTACAACCGAACTTCCAGACCAAATCTGTGTATCTATGAAATAAATGTGGTCACGCCGATTTGTTGTAAGGAAATTCCTGACTTAAAAGTTAATAATATTTACATAGATAACGTTTCCAGTTATCTTAAACGTATTTGAGCATATGACGACGTTTGATATACTTGCGCATATACATGTTCTTATCTCAAGTTGGATCTGTTCAATATTAAAGTAGAAAATAATGGACATATACTGAGATTTAAATTCCAACCGTAAACTTAAGGGATAACCTTCACAAATACATTGTTCTTTTCTAAAAGGAATAAGACAATCAGTTTCAGTAGAGATCACAAGCCTATTGAAATCTGCTTCAACTCCCGGCATTTTATTAATTATAAAAGACTTTTCAATTAACGCAAAACAGACATGAATCAAAGATAACATGTGTAAGCAAATGACACAAACAAAGAATCTATTGTCAACTGTTGGTCTTTAAATTGGAAAGTTTGCTAACATATGTTAAACTTTCAATTGACTCCAAGTTCACATAAAGAGAAGGGACTAAATGTAGCAAAGACTTTTAATCATATACTACCAACAACTAAATTCCGAAATTGCAAATACATTGAAAATGACAACAACAAAAGACCCCAGTAACCCCAGTAACGAGGTTGCTGATGGGACAAGCATATGGAAATGAGCACAATAGCTAATTACTACACATTCTCTAAGTTCTTCTTTTACTTTACTTGACCTTATATGAATAACTGTATGTGTCAACTTCGTTAACATATTCTATGAAATTTCTCCTTCCGATATTTTTTTGTGCAATTGTCCAGACTTTTTATACATAGACTGGCCGTCAATAGTAGTTAAAACAAACGGTACTGTTACATGTCTATCTATAAACGGTCATTCATATCTTATTTTTTTCAGTAACGGGATACTGGATCAATGGTTATAATTACCACAATGATAAAGACATGGAATGGGTAGGTCAACCCAACCAATCAATGTCATTTAGTGACATTCAACCTGGAGAACCTGATGCACCGATGGATCAGTTATGCATGGTGATGTGGAAAGACTATGATTTTCGATGGGGTGATTGCCTTTGTCACATTCCACTTTCATATATATGTGAATTCATGCACCGTTAAACTAGATTAATGCCAGTATTTATTCTCAATTAGTTACTGTACATAAGAATTTGCGGCATGTGATATCTTATTAAGCGGACATATATTATCATGTTTTATTGTTTAAATTTGGAATATACAAAAACTGACACTAAACGTTAATATTGATATACAAAACCCCTGGTTAAATCGAATAAAGTAATACCTATGACCATGACGTACAATTAGTTTTTATGTCTCAATTCAATCAATATGTGTCTCAGAAATAAAAACAAGACAATAAAAGAACTAACGAATTTGTGAAGGTTTTAATTGCATAACAACATCAAAACAACAATCAGACTTTGACAGACCAAAACATAGACTATTCAATGACACTATAATTATATTGTTTCTTGATTCAGTAAGGGCAACCAGCACTGAAGATGTGGTACCTGGTCTTCCTGCACCCTCATCAGATACATACCGCCATAAACATTTATTGTTTCTATATGTTGGATCACAGCTCCTTTATAGAACGGTCAAAATGTATCGAAAAATGATTCAACTATGCCATGGCGATCTTGGTAATGACTGCCTATAAAATCTGTAATTATAAAACATATAAGCAGCAACAAATAATTTTTGGGTACGATTTGATGTGGTTTTTTTGTTATCCGTCTAAGCTTTGTTAAACAACGAAAACAAAATGTCGTACAACTGGTTTAATAATTGTTTAAATTCACGTCTTTTAATGCGCGAGCTTATTGCATAAAGCGTATTTACAACAAATAAATTCAATTCCTATTGACCAAATTTCGTTAAGAACATTCGAACAACTGTTATTGAGTCTGTTTCATTATTTATAATGGTTTCTTTTTTCTTAACTCAACACGTCTTTAATCTACCACTACTTTACTGATTTTAATTCCCAACTGGAATAGTTTAAAAACGTACATTTTAGGTTTGCCTTGACTGTGGTTTGAACTCCTTCTTTAAAGTGTATAATTTGTTTGAAAACTTATATAATTAACTTTTAATTTTGCAAATTTCAATAGCCATGACTAATGTTCGAACTTAATCATGGAAGTGAATTATATATCACTGTTTATGAACACTTCCAAGAAAAATCATAAGTTGAACATCAAATATACAATATATGTAAATTATCGGCAAAATACAAAAGTTATTTTTATCAGATTAAAAACAGGACGAAAAGCGGGGCCCAACGACCTCTCTTCTGTTTTGTAGCGAGTACAAATACACTTTATATTTCCGACAATGTACATATGTTGGTTTTATTCTGTAATTTACACCCGACACTTAAAGTTATAGTTGTTCCAATCACAATAGTTGTCACTGATTTTTCATAGAAATCGACATAGTTAAAACGCGGAGCACAAAGAGGATCCCCAAAAATGACCTGTTACGCAAAACGATATATTCACGTTATCGCTTGATCAACATAGATTCGGGATAACAGGAGACTTTATGTGTACAAGTACAAATAAAACAAACATTTATTAGTGTACCTGTTATTTGAACAATAGTTGGCTGATTGCAGGATAAATCAAAATATACGGTATGATATATACATACAGCTTCCACCTTTATCATATTTATGTATTTAAGGTGGTACCCAACACCTTGACTAATATTAATTTGGCTCGTTTAATTTTCATAAAATTTTGACAAAATGTTTACTTTGACCCTTTGACAAAAATATCAAAATTTCAAAATTTCAACCAACCACTTTATCAGAAAAAATTCATTAGTTATATAGCAGTTTGACAAACACTAATTTTGATCATTGAGAAGCCTAATATTTCCTTAACAATATAACGTGATTAAAACGTCTAGCTGATTTTTACAGAGTTATCTCCCTGTAGTGATAGGTACCACCTTAAATACTACGTTTGTAAAGTGTAACTATGTAGCCGCGAGGTAAGGATGATTTGAAGAGTTAACGTTCATAGTAACAATTGCAGACATAATAAAATATGTAGATATAAGCAAATATATGTAACCCAATGGCAGTCAAAAAGGACCATAACCATATCGTTTCGTATGTTATAAAACGCCCCGAAATGACAAAATGTAAAAGATGACCATTTGTCTTTGTATTTGCTTTTCAAAATGCGTCTTTGGCATTATTCTAATAACGCTTGATTATTTAGTGTAAAAAAACAGGTTACTTTTAAAACGTCGGCTCAATTGTTTTAATTTTGGGTCTTCAATGTTCTTCAAAATCGCACTTTATTTTGCCTTTTTAACTTTTTTTCTCTTCAAGCGTCACTAACGAGTCTGCGCGCGTTTGGTGTACACAAATTTTATCCTGGTATCTTTGATGAGTTTATTTATCATATGGTGACACTGACATTTTTGGTAAGGTGACATAATGTAAAACATCTTGTGGTGAGTTGTCTAATTGGCAATCATACCACATCTTCTTTTTATACTAGTCATTAATAGATTTAGGGTTTTGAATGATAGCGGTTGTAATGTTAGATATGCGAGTAATCTAACTGTCAATATCGTTCAGACACAAATTGTCCTAATTCCAGCTAATTTGTAAAACTATTTTGTGAAATGCTTGATTTTCACAAAAAATAAAAAAAAACTATAGATTCTATCGACTTTATGTATATAATTTCCAAATTGTCTATTTACATGTAGTAAGATCTTGTATTGCTCAGTCAGAACTGTTTTTTTCTATCAAAATGTCCATGGTGTACTGATACTTCAATCAAATGAGGAATCTTTCTCATGGTAGACGGATATGTTACATTCATGTGTTGAAACAATTGTATTTATTTTTATCGTTTATTACTTATTTAACATGTAGAAATTATGACTCTCGGCCTTGGTAGGGGTGTTAAGGTCAAGTTTTGGTTTTCGTAATATGCATTTTATTCTTACTGTATCGTAATCTGTGTATTTATGAAATTTGTGTAAATGGGTTTTTGTGATCTTGGCGACAACTGTTTGTTTGTGCGTTGTAAGGTAAATATCACTGAAGAAAACCAACATAAAGAAGATATATTTGAAAGTATAATATATTTGTATGCATGTAACTTTTCTATAATAAATAATTTAAAAATTATACAACCCAATGAAGTAATTAACTACTTAAATATTCAAACAAAAATGTGTAATAAAAATACCGAAATCTAAGGTAAATTTGAAATGGGGAAGTTTATAAAAACTGACAAAATCAAACGCTATCAATCAACTGTCATACTACTGACTTGGTACAGGCATTACTCGAATTGCAATCGATAAAGCACATAGGTAAATATTATTATAAGGGTAAACAAAATGGTAAAAACACTGTTAAAACCTCTTTCGTCCGAATCACACCTGAAGACCAACCTTCAACAGGAACGTCGAAAGTCAAAAACACGATAGCGGGATGCATAAATACCCTGTCAAATAAAAGTCATATGACCAAAAGAATCATAATAGCACAAAGACAATAAGGGAAAACTGTTAACTAAATAAAAAGGTTCTCAACTTCAGCCCTATAATCTATAACTCAAAACCATCTTGTATTATTTGTTAAGTATACACTGAATATCTTTTTATTAGGTCTTGGTACTTTCCGATGAATTGTTTGTGAAAAAAGACGAGACGTTCTCTGACAAATGTCTAGGTACAATATTTTCTCAGACACAGATGACGTTTTACAAAGTTTGAGTAGCAGCTACAAGCTGTTGAATATCGTTTAAGTTGAAAAATGTACTTACAATTCAAAATTGAAATCATCTCGGATGTCATAAATATCGGTCCTGAGATGACATATGTTGTCAAATTCCAGGTAGATATTAAGCGGAGGAAACTGTATCCAGAGTTTCGTTAATCTCTAGTTCAGGAGGATATATAAATGGGACCCAATCAGAAACATTAGAATTGTTAATGAAAGAACATCATCCATATTTCTGTAGGCAAAATTGAATGGCCTAGCTTCTTTCATCTTCTTGTTTTATATAAGTGTCTGAAAGAACACCGACTCATATTAAAATAAGAAAAGGTCAGCCATGAGAGGTAAACAGTTGGTTCCTGTAGGAAAGCCGACAAGCTGCTGGGAAATTGTACCTCCAAATTCCAACAAATATGTTGTTAATGAGAAACTACAGCACACTTAATACTTGTTCGTCGGTGTAGCATGCTTTATTTTTGGCCCAAATGATAACAAAATAGTCCAAATAATATTCAAAACAATAAATTTGTAGAAATATGTTACAATTTATTTTGAGAAAAGCATTGTAGAATATTTCTTAACTTTTCGTGTGATGTGGTGATGTAAAGGGTGAAAATATCGAAGGTTTTAATAGAATTTATTTCAAAGAATGACCGAGATTTTAAATTTTCTAGAAGTTCTTTTGAGTTCTTATGAATCCACATATTAAAATTTGAATCTCTAGAGTATTAAATGAATGTATTTTTCCTTTTATTCTATGTTATACATTGATCTATGTTATCTTGGAAAATGCATGAGTTTTAACTGTACTTTAAAAAGTAAAATAACAAAAATACCGAACTCCAAGGAAAATTCAATACGAAAAGTCCCTTAACAAATGGCAAAATCAAACGCTTAAACACATCAAACGAATGGAAAACAACTGTCATGTTCCTGACTTGGTACAAGCATTTCCTTATGCAGAAAATGGTAAATGAAACCTGGTTTTATGATAACGTTCTGGTTCTAGAAAGAAGTTATAAACTGCTAAAAATTTATGTAGAATGCATTACCCATTCCAACGCACACTTTTTGTCAAGGTCCAAATGACGCTAAGGAGGAATACATGCATATCTAACTACTTTGATTATTTTTTCTATACTTTTTTTTAAAACCGATAATGCGTATCACGATACATTTAAACATAATGATTTGTTAAAAATTTATTCTGCATGTAATCTCAAACATTTGTTTGCATATAAAACTGTTGTTCTGTTGAACGGATGGTTCAATGCTTTTGAGGAATATTTTTTTCTTGTTGAATATGTTATTCTTCAACATTACGTCTCTCATACCTCGTATCTTTCGGACATAAATAAAAAAAAAGGAAATGAGTTATGATTGCAATG